CCTCTTGGCATTCCCGTGGCAATGCAATGAAGTGATACCCCTTTCTCACTCACAGAAAATTCTTGAACATTATTGATGTAAAAGCTGCAACCCTGTCAATAATGATACGTTTCGGGGTACCCAAACTTTCAAAAAATGCTATAATTGTATCTTCAGTAGATTATTTTGAAATAGCTCTCAAACAGCAATAGTTAGAGAACGCATCCATTACCACCAAAATTTGTGTACAACCTCCTGATTTTACTAATGGCCCTGCATGGTCGATATGCCAGGTTTTAAGTATATCGGATGGCTTTTCTCCTTTTTGCCATAATCCGGCACGTTTCCCTGTGTATGATTTCCTCAATACACAAGCTTGACAATTTCTGATGTATTTTTTAAAACATTTGCCCATTTTCGGCCAAAAGAGGTCTTCACGCATTTTTGCGATGCCTTTTTCCCAACCAATGTGTGACGAATTGTCATGATAAAGTTGCATGGTTTATAGACGGGTAGCCTCGGGAACGAAACACTTGGGGGAATTGTCCTTGGTTACAACAAGTCCGTTTTGTATTTGATAATCACCGTGATCACTAGGACGGTCAATTATGTTTTTGCAAAACTCATCTAGTTTTTGAAAGTCTTGCAACGTTTTACACTCGTCGTATTCTTCTCTCAGGACGCAAACATTTTTGATCGGATTTCGGCTAAGGTAATTCACATGAGCCATTCTGCCTGCCGGGCGGTATTCCTGAAGCTTAACCCACCATCTCGCTACTCATGGGTGTAAGTTTTTCTTAAGCGCAGTTGCCCGTACTGAATTGCAGTCACTATAAATCACAAAATGTACACCATAAAGGTATGCTCGGAAATACTCAACAGCATCCACTATAGCCAAGGTTTGTAATTCATATGAATGATACTTTGCTTTACTTTCGGTAGTTCTTCTACTGTAATAAGCAACCCGGTGAGTCACTCCATTTTCTCTTTGTAAGTGTGTTGCGCCGATGCCTACCGAAGTCGCGTCTGAATGTAATTCGCACTCTAATTTAGGATTGAAGATTTTTAGCGCTGGGTTCTCGGTTAATTTTTTTATGATAGATCGTCTCACTTTTTTACACTCGTCAGACCATTTGAAGACCTTGTTCCTCTTTAGTAAGGCAGTTACAGGTGCGGTTAGTGAAGAAAGCCCTTTGATGAACCGTCTGAAGTAACTCGCTAATCCCATGAACTGTCTAACACTTTTTACGTCCGTGGGCGGCGGAGCTGCTATTAAGACTTTTATCTTACGATCATTAGGACGTACTTGCCCTTTGCTAATGGTGATTCCAAGATTTTCAATTTCCGTAGTAAAGTAAGTACATTTCTCATAGTTTAACTGGAATCCAGCTACTGATAATGCGTTTAATACATTTTCTAATTTTAGCGTACCCTCTTCTATACATTCCGACGGAATTAATACATCATCTATATACACATTGGCCTGTGTTCCTTTTAATTCTCCAAGGGCCTTATCAATAGCTCGTTGGTAAATTATTGGTGAATTCACAAAATCAAATGGCATTCGGTTGTACTCATACAACCCGTCAGGAGTTATGAATGCTGTGTACTGCTTAGAATTTTCTTCGATTTCCATCTGGTAAAAGCCAGACTTCATGTCCAGAGTAGTGAAGTAACGTGCATGGCACAAGGCATCAATTTGGTCTTGAATAAGAGGTAGCGGGTAACGTTCCTTAAAAGCAAGTTTGTTAAGGTGTCTGTTCGGTTTTATCAAAGACTTTTACAACAAGCATAGCTAGATATAAAATTTTATTTTAGTTTGCAAATTTGTCACTTTTAATTCTAAGTTATTCATAGTCATGTTCGACCATTTGGGTCATTTTACAATTCAATTTGCAACCCTCATCTGGCTTTCCCAAATTAAGGCAGTTCAGTCGTCTCGTTCGCTATATCTATTATGTTACAAATACATTATATATTCATCAGTGAATTATGTATCAACTTTTAGCTATTTAGCTATATACTTACCATATTTATATAAACAGTTAATTCAGGCAAAAAAGAGAATATTTTTTGAGGAAATCCGTTTAAATAAGTAATTAAATGAAGTAAAAGTCTATAAATGAATATGAAGTCCAAACAAAAAATCTATTCATTATAAATGTGCAAATTATTAATTGCAATAAAAAATTAGTTGATTTTTACATTGGTGCCATTTTTACTAGTTGAGTATGGGTTTTAATCAAGCATCTGCAGATTTCATCTGGTATTCACCGTTCAAATTGTAACTGTTTCATTTTGCATTGTAAATAATTGTTGGAAATTAAGGAAATTGTTTTACTTATTATTCTATTTACCGACTTTCACACAGTAAGTGCTCACTCCTGCTTTTTCTATTTATGTAAATTACCATCTTTCATTTTTCTACCTACGTATTTTTGTCAAAACACGCATTAAGTTTTTCAATAATCAGTTTTTTATAAAATAGTAAATTTAGGAAAATAAAACGTATAAATGAAAACTAACAAAAATCAAAGTAAATATGAACTCTATTTAATAGTCTATTTTCTTTGGATCATAGCTTTGTCAAATATTAGGTGCTAGTGTTTCTCTTTGTTTATTTAACTTCAGAGGTATTGGAAAGAATAGGAGAACAGAGGACTCTATGGAAGTCTTCTTAGGCACGAAGGTCTAGTCAGAGACATATTAGAGGCAGAAACAGGAGTTAGAAGGGGTAGAGGTAGACCTAGATTAGATTACTGTTCGCAAATAGTTAAGGATGTGGGCTGTTCTAGTTTTAGGGAAATGCGAAGTTTAGCTCANTTGCTTAAACCATCGACTTAGAACAAAACATTTTCCAATTGTTAATGTAAGTAAATAACAATTAAAGGTTTTATTTTAACAATTAATACTTTATTTTTGGACAAATTAAGTTTGCAGTTTTCTTATCTGTGGGTACTACTGTTATAGAATTGCTGAAACGAATTTGTAAATTCTTTTGTTGTTTTATGCAATACGCCGGTGGCACAGAAGATTGTTGGTTGGTATTAAAAATAATTAAATTGGAGAACACGTTAATATCAAACAAACACTTTTCCATATTTGTGAAAACATTGCTACCCCTATCTCGATTCACCAATTCTCCCCCAGTTCTATTGTCCTCACATCCTCCTAAGCTCCTAGCACATGTTTTAGACATTCTACCTCCCTGTCACATATTCTATACCGTGCGTCCTATTCTGTTTCCCTCCCTCCCTTTGCCAGTCGCTTTACAAAATGTTTACGCATCTTGACTCTAATTTTTTTAGATCCTCTCCCCTTATTTCCCTACATCTCTTCCTCATCAATTTTCCTACGTTGACATTCTTCCCTCAATTACGCTCACGCCTGCTCCTGATTAATTTTTAATATCTTCAAAGCCCTCTCCTCCTCTCTATTATATCTACTTTTCGTCCGTATTTCGATTCCCTGTTTTCTTCATATTTCCTTCCTGATATCCCCTTCTATTAGCCTTCCCATCTTCTACTTATATTTTACTATCCTTTTTATCGCTTCTTCCCTCATCTTCTTATATATAGTCTCCCTTCTTATTACAGAATCTGACATATTTATTTCTAATTACGACACACACATAATTTCTGACCTAACCCTATACGCTCCCCATAGTTGCCCTCTCCTAAGCTACTTAATTGGTAATATAATGATACGTTTATTATTATCACAGCATATATCCTAGATATGCATAATTCCTCACATTTTGTTTCTTTCCTTCCTCTTCGTCCTCTTATCTCTCAAAATTCCATAACCTTTTCTAGCCCCACCACTTTTTTCCTTTTTAGCTCATCTATCTCTTTTACAACTTCCTCCCTTACCAACCCCTCTACCACTTATTTCTAGTATTCCAACCTCTCTCGTAACTCCCCCCTTTTCTTACTTGTGCTTTATTATTCTGTTATTCTGAACCTAACTATTTATTTTATTTTCCTCTCCTGTGGTCCTCACCACCTTTAAACCATTTATTATTGTAACACTCTCCTATCCAATTCTCTAATATTTAGCTTCAAACATTCTTTAACATTTCTTTTTTCCCATCATCGTCTCCGCTCACTCTATTTTTCCCACCGAAATATCCACTTCCTTTTTTTACCGTTTCTTCCTTTTCCTCGTACTATGTCCATATTTGTTTATCTACTGTTATCTTCTGGTACCTAACATTAACCGACTTATCCACATTTTTTTCTCTCCTCGACTACTTGTTCCTGCCAATTCTGTATTATTCTCTCTTCCACACTCATATCATCTTACACACACACACACACACATATATATATATATATACATACATACATATTAAAACAACGTTTTACGAAACCGTCGTGGAGAGCACTTAGTAGTGCTTATAAGTATGAAAAACTACAAAAGTAAATGAAAGAAAATTAGGAGCAATAGAAATGATTTCTGGGCATCTTATTTTTTAAGGGGAGAATAAGAGAAAAAGGAGATGTCGGCACTGATATTAAAGGTTGCACTGGTTAGTATGCTATGGCTACTTTTGGAGAATGCTGGAAGATCTTTTGGAAAGAAATGGTAAAGTGGAGTATAATAAGTGATGCAAAAGAGAGAGAATCATATATAAATATCAAATACCTAAAAAGCGAACGTTCAGGAATTTGTATTCCTTAGTTACTTAGGTACTCAGTCCAGAGACTAAATCCAAATCTTCATTTTTCCTTGTCCTGAAGTTATCTCTTTGTTTTTTAAAAGTAGCACATACATATACCCTAAATTTTCAACTGTTTGTGACAAATATCTAATCTTAATCTACGAGTCATTTTTAATTTTTCAATTTCCGTATTACGTACTATTTCTCAGAAAAACCTAGAAAATCAGAAATTCGATTGATAACTCTGAGTTCTGCTCATGTTTTGGAACAATAAATAACATTATTATGTTAGAAATGGTAAAGTAGAGATTTTCTGTGAATTAATGATTCTCCTCAAAGGTGCTGAGATGCTCATGAATATAGAAGAATTTACTATTATTCTGTTTCAAACATACTTTCCATATTTACAATTACACTTGTTTCCCTTTTTATTTTTTATTGCCGTTTTTGTGGGAATGCACTATAATCTAGCTCTAGCATGTACTGTTCCAATTTTTTTTGTGTTACACTTTTCTATCAATCTATTCATCATCAAAATTCACTTTAAATTCCCGTTCGTCATTTGTTTCCGTTTTATTTATGTTTCATTAAACATAATGTGCACGTCATCAATCACCGGTCGGTCAACAATGGTTATTGAATTAAACAGCTGCTACACTTTGACTTTGGCGGCCATAATAATAAGTAGCGTACTGGTTTTGCGTAACTGTAAATGTTTTTGATAAGCAAATCTGCTTGTTGGTTAGAAAGTAGGTACCCAGTTCTTCTTTTGAGCTAACCTTAATAAGTCTCACGCATAAACGATATAGATGTCGAATGATAACTGTATTTCCTAAAAAGATCGCCTAACGATTTGGCAACAAATGATTTCGAGTTTCGACTTCCGTTTAATCGATGGATTTCGCTCGAACGATCTAAATAATAAGTTATTGGACGACTGATCCAATCCTCTCGAAACGCTATTCTACTTATTGTGATACTTGAAAAGGTCACTAATTAGGTTGCTGAACAGTTAATTGTATACTTTTGCTACCTATGCAGTAGCGGCGGATGGTGTTTTTATACAC